TAGATTGGCAAATGTTAAACCAATTTTGCAACCCTATTTGATCATAATGTATGATCCTGTTAATGTATTGTTGAATTCAGTTTGATAATATTTTTCGAGGACTTTTACATCTATGTTTATCAGGGATATTGACCTGTAATTTTCTTTTCTTGTGGCATCCTTATATGGTTTCAGTGTCAGGGTAATACTGGTATTTTAAAATGAGTTTGGAAGTGCTCCCTCCTCTTCTATTTTTAGAAAAGTTTGAGAAGGACTGGCAGTAATTATTCTTTAAATGTTTAGTAGAATTCACTAGTGAAGGTTTCTGGTCCTGACTTTTATTTGTTGAGAATTTTTGATTATTGATTCCATCTCCTTGCTAGTAATTGATGTGTTTAGATTTTCTACTCATAATTCAGTCTTGGTAGGCTGTATGTTGTTAGGAATATATCAATTTCTTTTAGGTTGTCCAATTATTGACATATAATTGTTCCTAATAGTCTACTATGAGTAGGTCTGCCTTTTCATTTCTGATTTATTATGCAGTGCCCTTCTTTGCCTCTTATTAAGTATGTGTGTGTTTGTATAAAGTATGTATAGGAACCCTGGCTTTCTCTTGATTTCCATATGCATGAAATACATTTTTCCATCCCTTGACTTTGTGTGGGTGGGTGTGTGTCCTTAAATCTGAAGTGAGGGGCACCTGCGTGGCTCAGTCATTACTTGTCTGCCTTCGGCTCAGGTCATGATCCCAGGGTCCTGGGATCGAGCCCTGCAATGGGCTCCCTGCTCGTCGGGAGGTGTGCTTCTCCCACTCCCTCTCCCCCTGCTTGTGTTCCCTCTCTGTCTGTCAAATAAATAAAATCTTAAAAAAAAAAATCTGAAGTGAGTCTCTTCTAAGCAGCCTATAAATGGGTCTTTTAAAAAAATCCAGGGGTGCCTGGGTGGCACAGTCAGTTGAACATCGGACTCTTGGTTTTGGCTCAGGTCATGATCTTGGGGTCGTGAGATAAAGCCCTGCATTGGCTTCATGCTCAGTGCAGACTCTGCTTGGACTCTCTCTCCCCTCTCCTTTTGCCCCTCCCCCCCGACTCTTGCTCGCTCCCTTTCTCTTTCTCTAAAATATTTTTAAAAATCCATTAAGCTACTCTGTCTTTTGATGGAGAATTTAATCCATTTACATTTAAAGTAATTACTGGTAGGCAATGTCCTTACTGACATTTTTTTTTCTGTATGTTTTGTAATTCCTTTGTTCCTTTCTTCTCTTGTTCCCTTCCTTTGTGATTTTATGATTTTCTTTAGTGGTACACTTTCTTTTCTCTTTATCTTTGGTGTATCTACATAGGTTTTTGCTTTGTGGTTACCATGAGGCTTATATATAACAACTTATAAGTCCGTTTTAAGTTGATAACAACTTAAGTAAGTTTAAACACATTCTAATGCCCTACATTTTTACTTTTTCCTCCCCAGGTTCTATGGTTTTAATGTCATATTTTACATTATTTTACATTTTTATCTTTTGTATTCCTTAACTGATTAATAATAAAAGTAACTACAGCTACCATATTGTCTTGTAACCCTCATACTAGCTTTATAAGTGATTAATCTACCACCTTTTCTATTATTATTCTGGATTTTATCTTATGTTTTTTATTTAAGTAATCTCTACACCGAACATGGGGCTCAAATTCATGACTCCGAGACTGAGTTGCATATTCTTCCTACTGAGCCTACTGAGCCCTTTACCCATGGGATTTGTACTTTCACATTTTCCCATTACTAATGGGTGCCCTTTTATTTCAGCTTGAATAAGTCCCTTTAACACTTTTTGTAAGTCTGGTTTAGTCTTGATGAACTCCTTTAGCGGCTGCTTGACTGGAAAATTCTCTCCCCTTCAATTCTGTATGACAACTTTGCCAAGTAGAGGATTCTTGATTGAAGGATTTTTTTTTTCAACGCTTTACAGGCCAGAGGGAATGAGATGATATATTCAAAGTTTCTGCTGAAAAATCTGATGGTCTTATGGAGTTACTTATGCAATAAGTTGCTTTTTCTTGCTGCCTGTAAGATTTTCTTTTCATCTTTAACTTTGACATTTTATGTGTCTTGGTGAGGGTCTCTTTGGATTCATCTTCTTTGGAACTCTGACATTCCTGGATCTGGAATTCTGTTTTGTTCCACGTGTTAGGAAATTTTCAGTCACTGATTCTTCAAATAAGTTTTCTGCCCATCTCTCTCTTCTCCTTCTGGGACCCCTATAACATGAGTATCAGTCCATCAGATGTTGTTCCATAAGTCCCTTAAACAAGCTTTCCTTTTTTTTTTTTTTAATTCTTTGTTCTTTTTCCTGTTCTGATTGGATGAGTTCCATGACCTTGGCTTTGATTTCATTGTTTCTTCTGCTTTACCTAGTCAGCTGTTGAAACCCTCAAGTTTTTCAGCTCACTTATTGGATTCTTAAGCTCTGTGACTTCTGTCATTTTTTCTTTGTTGAATCCTCAGTTGTTCATGCATTCTCCTGAGTTCAGTGAGCATCTTTATGACTGTTATTTTGAATTTTTAACAGTTAAATCATATCTCTTTCATCAAGGACTTTTTATGAGGTTTTTATCTTGTTTTTTCATTTGGGACATATTCCTGTTTCTTCATATTCATGACTCTGTTGGTTTCTATGCATTAGCTGCCATCCCTCCCAGTCTTGAAGGAGAGACCTGTTTAGGAGATGAACCTTACCCTCCTACCCTTCTCTAGCTCTTGGTTGTCTCTCAAACCTTTGTGATTGTCCAAGCAACCTATTTTATTTCTGGTGGTTCCCTGTATTTGAAGGTATGCCAAGACCTGTCATGGCTCCTGGGGTGGGGGTGGGGGAATCTTAGCACCTAGACTCAGGCTCTTTGGAAGCCAAACCCTTAGGCAGCAGCTTTTGAAGTATGCAAATGTGTACAGTTCTGTGGGACCACAAGTATAATCTTGCTGGCCACAATAGCCAGACAATGTAGAAGTGTCCCCTGGGTGTCAGTCATAAAAAAAATGGAGCAGCAGACAAGCATATAATTTCCTTTCTAAGAGTTGCTGGAACCCTGGAGTGAGGCAGAGGGAGAGTGCAAAGATGGTGTGCACTGACCTCTATCCTTGGCATTCCTACCTCTTTAGGCCCCTAGCTCTGTACCAGACCCTATGTGTGCCCCTCTGGCCAAAGCTCCAGGACAAGCAAATAGGCCTCTTTAACAAAAGAATGTGGTGTGTTTCAGTCTACCTGTGTTGTGTCCTGGGGGTGTAGCCAGACAAGAACTCTCTTTCAGATTGTTACCACAGCTAGGTGATCAAGAAGTGTCTCCTGGGCAGCAGCCACAAAAAAAAAACCCAAAAACAACAAGGTACCAGACATGCATATAGGCTTCTGGTACTTTGGAACATGGCCAAAAGTACAAAGATAATGCCTGCCTTCTGAGGTCTCTGAAAAGGATCAGTCAGCCCTGAGATGTGTGTTTAATTTGAAGATAAGCTAACAGGCCTTTTTCACAGAAAGACGGGCTCTTGGGTCTGTTGCCTCTTGCTGTGTCCTGGGGATGGTAGCTGGGGAAGAGTTCTTTCCCCATTGGTTAATAATAGGTGATTGATGCACTTAGGAAAGTATATACTGTATATACTGGACAACACAGTGATTAAGTCGGCCTAGAGTTGCATTTTTGAGGACGTAATTTATAAGCTGAGTTGTTTGACAAGTATTAACTCTGCTGGTGATGTGTTAGATGGCTAGAGAATATGAAATCAAAGAGCTTTTATCTTCTGAAGATTTACAATTTTGAATTAATAGGAATCATACAGGTAGTGAGTGAGGTGGCAAGGAGGATAACCAGTTTGCTGAACTGTTAAAATATCAAATTCTTCACCAGGTGGTAAATAACAGTTATTCCCAGAACTGCTCTATTTGCTCTACCCTGCCTGCCCTCAGTATCACCTCCAAACCCCTCTTCTGTGGGCCCCAGAATTTACTGTTTTCTAGCAACTAAAGGGTCAATGCCCTTAAGCACTCTCTCTCAGTATTTTACATATAATCCCAGCGGATGCAGTTTGCCTAGAGACAAAAGAAGTTACAAACCTTAATATAGTAATGAGTATTCAGTAAACTGGAGTTAAAGGCCAGAGCATGAAATACAAGTTGGGGAATAGAGAGAAATGGAATTGATAAGGGTTCAACAGGATTTTAAGCCAATCTACTTTTAAAAACAATACTTTTGATTATACATAAACTTAGTACATAAGTACTCACTGATATTTGTTGAATGAGCTACTATAATGCTAATTAATTATTAGTAACAGCTGCTGTTAATATGCATATGGTTTTTTTTTTACTCTTTGCATTCCTGGCCACTAAGGAAGTTTGCATCCACATTTGCAAGAATAAATATAGACTTGTATGAAGGAATTTACCTCCTTTCCTCTGCAGTTACAGGATCTATTATGTGATTACCCCACTTTCCAATTGGTGATTTCAGTATTTACAGATGTAAACACTGAAAATCCTTGGGGGGGGGAATCAAACTTGGTCAACGAGGACTGACTTTTTTTCATTTCACTCGGAACATTTTACCAAATAGTGACTGAATACTGATAGTTTTATTCACCAATGTGAACAGGCAGGCAAGAGATAGCTCAGAAGTTTTGATTTAAAAGGGCTAATAAGAAAGGTTTAATTGTATGGAAGTATTAATGGAATTGGTTCTCCTTTAATTCCTTGCTTAAAAAAAAAAGATAAAATATTCCTTATTGGGGCGCCTGGGTGGCTCAGTCGTTAAGCGTCTGCCTTCGGCTCAGGTAATGATCCCAGGGTCCTGGGATCGAGCCCCGCATCGGGCTCCCTGCTCTGCGGGAAGCCTTCTTCTCCCTCTCCCACTCCCCCTGCTTGTGTTCCTTCTCTCGCTGTGTCTCTCTGTCAAATAAATAAATAAAATCTTTAAAAAAAAAATATTCCTTATTAATGGAGGTACAGGTTAAAGGATAAATACCCAAAACAGTACCTGAGGAAATCACTGTTTTATTTTTACATCACAGTGTACTGTTCTTCTTAACCAAGAGTCACTGCATTGTATATACTGTCAATTGCAATATAATTCCCATCACTATGTTTCTTCGTGTTCTCACTTAAGAGTAAATGACATTACTAAATTATTTTCATCAAACATTAATTTTCATATTCCCAAAGGTCTGCAATTTTTTGGCATTAAATAGGGTATTACAATTAAACACAAAATCAGTTGCTATTTAATACTATGTAATATTTTAAAACTCTTTAATAATGCGGATCATTTCATTTGAAACAAGCTTTGCCCTTCTGAAGGCTCCTCCTCTCCACCCCTTCTGCAATGGGTGGTGGGGGCCTCCCAATGCCAGCAGCTGAGGGAGCTCCATGCCATCATTCCTCTTCTCTCTGAACAGGCAAGCGCTCTGGAGGAAGAACAGATTCCAATTTCTGCCAGCGCTCTGGAGGCCACAGGATGTGTGTAGCATGGGCATGTAGAAGTCCTAGAGAAACCTAAACCCATGAGAGACACACAGAAAGCAAGAAATTATTTTATCAGAATTATCATTAATATCTTAAAGACAGAATTTGATCCAGGTCTGAAATTCCTTGGAAAGATGATGATTAAAAATAGTAAACATTTATATGGCACATTTCTAGGTGTTTTATATACCTAAATGCCTTTAAATCCTCACAACCATTTGAGGTATGTATTACGCACAATTTGCATAGGAGAAAACTAAAGTCGGGTTGGTTAAAGAACTTGCCAAAAGTCCTACAGCAACCAGTTGGTGGAGGCTGGCTTCAGGGCTGAGCTGTCCAACCCCAGGGTCTGCAACCTTAACCCCCATCCTCAGTTTGTAAATACCCAGGGAGCATAAGTCTGGTTTTCATTCTCGGAATTTCCTATGGAGTTACTAGTATTTTAGAGAAACTTTACTTTGTGGATAAGTCAGAGACATGAGGAAAGTATTGTCCCACCTACTGAATGAGCAGCAAGAGTTCGATGTGAGACTAAGGCCTTCCTTGGAAACTACATGGAGCAACAGGGAACTGGTGATCACAGAAGGAGGTGGAAAACTAAGGGAAAGCCAGCAATGGGGGATAGGAAGCAATGAAAAAGAATTAAGTGTAAAGATGACAGGTGGCAAAGAACCCCCCTCAGCAGATATGTGCCCATTTAGGAGAAGGAAACTAGAGGGAAGCACTAAGGCTGAGCCCTGAAAAGGAAGGAGCCCTTAAAGACATTTTAGGGCTCCCTAGGGCCATCAGCTGCAGTGAGCAGCAGAATGCCAGCAAGCCTGTTTAAAATGCAGATCAAGGAAGGCCCTATTCTCAGATTACCCTTCAAATGAGGCAGGATCTGGAAATCTGTGTCTTTTGTGGTTGATGCTATTGTTGTTACTATTAGGTAATATGTTAACAGTATTTAAAAACTTACAAAGTACAGTTACTTAACCAGATACTATGGGTCCACTTTTTATTTTCAAATGTTTTTCCTATAAATTGGAGCTCCATAGAGATTAACAGATGAGTGCTTTCATTGAAGTTCTATTTACTAGCATATGCATGCAAGAAATCACATTGCACAGAGAGTTAAAGAATTGGATGTCAAGTGAGGGACTCTAAAAAGATAACTAGAAACACATTTTTTTTTTGAAAAACAAACACACTTCACAACAACTTGGAATACAAATAAAATAAGCCCAAAGGCTATCAAGAAGCCCAGGGGCCCAATAAAGAATATTACTTTGAAAATCAAACCTACAGAAAACTTGAAAATGTGGTGGGGAAAAAAAAAGAGCAAGCTCTATTCATCCAAATTCACTAGTTATTTTTATTTTGTTACTTCCTCCTTGGATGCCTTTCTGTATACATATACTTTTCTAATGAACCATTGGAAATTTGCTCACATTCCGAATTTACCCCTAATATTTCCACGTGTCTCCTCAAAACTAAGACTCTTTCCTACATAAACAAATACATTGTAAGTTATATATAGCCAATATTCAGAATTTTCCAATTGTCCCAATAATGTCTTTTATAGCTGTTTTTTAAATTCTTAATCAAGGATCAAAAATTGCATCATAATTGTCATTATTTTTGTTTAGGCCTGTTGCCTTGTAAGATGGCCCACATTTATAATTGCTTGATTTTTCCCCTCCTGAAAAGATTCAAGTTAAATGTTCTTGGCAAGAACACAATGTACTTGATAATGCATTCTTCCTACTCTGTCATATCAGAAGGCACAAAATATCTGTGTGTCCCATTCTTGTGATATGAAGTTTGATCACTTGATTAAAGTGATATTGAACAGATTTCTCCTCTGTAAACAAATCATTTTCCTTTTATAATTAATAACGAATCTCTGGGATGATATTTTGAAATATGTAACTATCCCATGTCAACATTTCATCTAATCAGTTTACTCTCTCTCAAGGAAGCTGGTTTCTAAACCATCTAATGATTTTAACATCCATCGATGATCCTCCCTGAATCAGTTATTACACTGATGATTACAATAGTGAGTTTCCAAATTTATTATTCCTTTTATATTTACTAGCTGTCATTCTTCTCTAAAGTGATTCCGCTTCCAACCCCAAATGCCTCTTTTAATATCAAATATTTCTTCTTTATTTCACAATCTCTTATGAGTTCTTGGTTAAACTTGGACAGGTTTCCATCAGTCCCTGAGCACTTCCTTACTTTTTGGTACCAACTCGATGTTGCAGGCTTACTTGTACTTTATACATGTTCAGCCTGAAATCAGACATCTCATTAAGGAGGGTTTTCCCTCACCTTCCCCCATTCCATATTTCTCTCTCTCTTCTTCTAGACTTAGCACTCTGGCTCCCAACCACAAATTTACTGAGTAAACATCAAGGTTTCTTTGCAACTATTTTAATCCTTAAAATACATCTCACTTAAGGGTATATTTATTGGAATTTGTTCTTTTCCTCCTCCACAGCGTAGCTGTATTAAGTACTGTTACGTTTGTTTCTATTTGTATTCAGTTTTAGTGGGCTTTTGTTATCCTTTTTGATTGTTATTTTTGAATTTATAAAGATTTCCATGGTTAAAAAGTCAAAATTATTCTTAAAACGTAAGGTAGGCAGAATGCCCCCTCTAACACACACTCCAAACATGTCCATATCCTAATCCCCAGAAGGTATGAATACACAATGCTACAGAGCAAAGAGGATTAAGGTTACAGATGGACTTAAGGTTGCTGATTAATCAGTGGATAGTAAGATAACGAGACTATCCTGTAACATTCCATGAACTAAGAACCCATAAATGCAGATAAGCTAGGCAGAAGGGTTAGATTCAGACAGAGATGTTATACTGCTGGATTTTGAAGATGAGAAAAGGGCCATAAGACAAGGGATGCAGGTGGCCTCTAGAAACTAGCAAGGACACAGATTATCCCCTAGAGCTTTCAAGAATAAATGAAGCCTTGCTGATACCTTGATTTTAGCCCAGTGAGATCTATATTTGACTCATGACCTCCATTACTCTAAAATAAAGGTTGTTTTAAAGCCACTATATTTGTGGCAATTTATTATACTAGCAATGGGAAACTAATACAAAAAATATACACAAATTACATTCCCATCCACTACCACACCTCTAAATGATTAACTGTTTTCATCAGAATATTTTTCTTTTTTGGAAAAAGAAACTGAAATATACACTCTTATTTCCCTTTTTTCTCACATACCAAAGGTAGAATATTACACATTCCCTTTTGCACTTTGCTTTTATTCTCACCTGTATCTCCTAGAAACCATTTCCTAACAAACACTTCATAGAAAGGGAGCCTATGGTTTTTATAACTCCCCTCCCTTTAGTGATTCTGATTAACTTCATTGGAAGTCCAGGATCTGAATTTGCCACTTAGCATCACACCCAGAAAAAGCAAACTTAGCCAATTTTAAAGAATCCTTTAAATATATTCTGGAACAGGCTAAGTAACCATTCCAACCATGTTAACTGCGAGGAGCCTAGGTCTAATGGTCTGTCATAGTGAAGTTTTTATCTGGGCTCAGTGGAGCTATAGGACAGCTGGTCTCCACCCTCTCAGTCACCCTTTTTTAGATTTGATAGCTGCTACTTGGTTGTTCCTCAAGCCTTTATTTGCTGTTCCAAGTTCTTTAACTTTTCTCATATGGTTGATTTGCCAGGACTCCTGCCAATATATTTGCTTGTTTGCTTGGTGATTCAATTTTGTTTAATCAACCTTCATTTTACTAAAACCTAGGATTCTTTCATTCCAAACATTTATTAGGTACACTACGCACTTCCTGAAAAAGACAAAAAATCTCATAGATGTAGAGTATTAGTATTGTATGCAAAATTTAAGCATTTCTTTAAGAGACTAATAAACAGAGTGCCTATGTATTCTAGCAGTCTTGTCACAGATCTTTATTAGTATGTATTCAGACATGTTAAGAGCATAGTGAATACAGGACAGAGAAAATCCAGAAATAATCCAGAAGTAAAAGAACTTAAAAATTAAAAGCTATACCTCAGGTATAGCTTTGGTTTCCACACATACTGTATTAAGCAGGGTCCTCCAGAGAAACAGAACCAATAGGATATGTGTTTATATAGAGAAATAAATTTATTTAAAGGATTTAGGTCATGCAGTTATGGAGGCTTGGTGAGTTCAAAATCTATCTAATGTGGAAGACCAGAAGGCGGAAGACTCAGGAAACAGTTTCAGTTTAATTTCAAAGGCAGTCTGCTGGCAAATCGTTTATTGCTTGGGGTAGGGTAGCCTTTTGTTCTATGCAGGCCTGCAACTGATTGGATGAAGCCCACCCACCTATTGGAGAACAAAATGTTTTACTCAGAGTCCTCTAATCTAAATGTAAATCTTGGCCCAAAACACTCTTAAACCTTCAAAAGGCTGGGCACCAGAGCCTATCTAAACTGACACATAAAATTAACCATCACACCCGACAAATATAATCCTCCTCCTTCTGCTTACTCAGGGTTACATTCCATGCTTACTGCACACCCAGGGCAGTGTTCTGAATGACTTAGGCATCCTAATGCATTTAATCCTCACAATAACTCTGTGATGCAGGTTCTATTATGATATCCATGGTGGAGGAAACCTAGGCATAGCACGAGATTTTTTTGAGCCAAGACTGAAGTGTATGCCCTCCGGCTCTTGAGCCTCTTTTATCAGGATCCATCTTATTATTTATTTTCCAAATGAGACACTTTGACCATGAAAGGGGGCACTTTTTAAATTAAGTCAGGATAATAGTAAAATGGAGCTGTCCTGGACAAATCAAGATCAGGTCAACTTAATCATATTGCTGTCCCACATACCCTCCTGAAACACCTAGATTGATCAAAAGGAAATGACTGTTATGAGCTGTATTGTTTCTGCAAAACTCATATATTGAAGCCCTAATCCCCAGTACCTCAGAATAGGACTGTACTTGGAAATTGTTACCTCTTTAAATGTTCTAAATTAAAATGAGGCCATTAAGGTGGCC